CGTAACATATATAAAGCAAGACACGTCCAGGAAATCACCACAAGGTGACACTGGCGAAGCAGAAGCAGACCAAGGCCGATCCAACATCACCGAGACAAGAAAAAAAAAAAAAAAAAGATAAATAATAAAAATGGAAAATGAATCTTTTAATCCGCTGTCGCTGTTAGACAAAAATCAGCCGTTCGACGCCGAGAAATTGAAGCTACTGGACAATGTAGTAGAGGCTCTGTTAGATACAAAGGACAAGAACAGACGGGACTTTGCACAGAATCTGTTGAACCAATTTAAGATGTTAGACAATTCATGGAGATCCGTCTCTATCATTTTGGAACACAGCGAAAATGTGAATACGAAGTTTTATGGCCTCCAAATATTAGAAGAGTGTATAAACAACAAATGGAATATATTGCCTGCAGATGAAAGAGGAGGCATGAAGAATTTCATAGCGTGTTACACAATAACCTTATCGACAGAGGGAACGACAGTAGGAGTTGATAGACATTTGCTAAACAAATTGGACGAGACGCTAATCCAGATCGTAAAGAAGGAGTGGCCCGATTCGTGGTCGAGTTTCATTCCAGATATTGTAAATTCAGCAAAGCTAAATCAGAATGTATGTGAAAATAACATGAAGTTGTTAAACATGTTAAGTGAAGAGGTGTTCGAATTTGGAAATGAAACATTAGTACAAAAAAAAAAAGAAAAATTAAGAAACGAATATGCTAGCCAATTCCAAGAAGTGTACAATTTATGTTTGTACATTTTGGAAGCGAATGTATACAACAAGAGGAGTACAAATACGTCACTAATTAAGCAAACGTTAAACTGTTTGTCGAACTTTTTTAAATGGATCCCATTAACATATATATTTGATAAGTACAAATTTAATGATACCAATATACAAATTATTGACCTCCTGTTTGACCACTTCTGGGATGACATTTCATATAAAATTGAATGTGTAAAATGTATACAAGAAATAGTGATGCTAAAAATTGACGAGAAAAATATTATTTATTTTGATAACGTGTTTATCAACTTGTGGTCAAAGTTGGTCTCCAAAATTAAGTTGTTGCCAAATGCCAATGAAATGAAGAATATTCCTCCAGAGTTAAAAATATTCTGGGAACAATACTTCTTACAACTGAGCATATGTATCACAAGCTTTTTGCGCAATTACAGAGAGAAGATTGTCGAAAAGAATAACAACACGAATGATGTGAACATCGTTTTCAAATTTTTAAATATGCTAGCCAATAGCAACATGGAGGAAGTTTTCCTTATCATCATTGATTATTATAATGTCTTCACGGAACAACTCATTAGGGAATTGATCACGAGGTTAGAGCAAGAGCATAATTTGAAAGGTAAGGCCGGTGCAAATGCACCAGGTGCACCGAGTTCCTCGAATGACTTGAAGAATCCACTGGGTACATCTGCCATGAACATGTCTATGAATATGGAGACATCCTCTCTAGGCAATAGGAAGGCGTATAGCTTCGCCACGATGAATTACAACTCGAGCCTCGTCGGAAACAATGCTATTAGCGGAGGGAGAGGTATGATCATCAACATTAATGAATATTCTTCTATATTGGATAAAATTGATTTAACCCCAGGGGATATCAAAAAAATGTGCCCGAGGATTAAGCTATACGAATTTATTCTGAATGATATAAGGAAGACCGTCATTGAGAAAATGGCGAAGCCACAAGAAATTTACATTTCGTATGATAACGAAACGGGGGAAGTGGTCCGTGATTTTGAACCGGACACCACAGAAATTGCCTTGTACAACACGATGAAGACGACCCTTGTATATCTAACCTACTTGGGTTCTGAAAAAACCATGGAACTGATTGTGGAGTTGTTAAATAAAGAATCGGAGAAGTCTCTAAAGAATACTAACAAAAATGAAGTCTGGAATAGCACCAAGACCAATCGAATCAGTTACGCAGTGGGTTCCATCTCCATGTGTATGACTCTCAAAAAGGAACAAGACTTCTTAATGTACATATTGAGGATATATTTACACATGATAGAGGTTAAAAATGGAGAAGAAAATAGAGCCATTTTGGCCTCTTGCGTTATGTACATTGTGAGTCAGTACCATCGATTTTTGAAGCTCCACTGGAGGTTTCTAAAAACGGTGATGAAAAAGTTGTTCGAGTTTGCAGAGAATGAAAAGGTACAGGACATGGCAGCGGAAACCATTTTGAAAATTTGCAAGCAATGCAAAAATGTTATAGCCAAGAATAACCATACCAATGATAATAGTGAGTCTTTTTTTAGTACGTTCATTAAATTTCACAATAATATAATGCATAAATTGCCAGAAAAATTGAACTTGTTACTTTATGAAGCCATTGCACATGTCATTTCGTGTTTTCCGTATGAGGAGAAGCAGGAGAGTATAAAAATTTTAATGAGCAAATTGATGAATTTGTGGAATTCGTTAATTTATGCGAATAACGGAATTAAAGATATGAATGATCCCAACCTTTTAAACAACAACGGGGCTAATGGGAATGCGATTAATGACATGAAGAATTTGGAGCATCTGTGCACCTATGAGAACTCCAAACTGATTATCACCTTTGTGAGGGTTAACTGCAGATTGGCTTACGCGCTGTCCTACTTTTACTATGAGCAATTAAATTTAGTTTTTCTTGATTTTTTAAAAATTTATCAGGTGTATAGCAAGTTTATAAATTTGGAAGTGGAAACGAATGGGACGAAACGCATAAAACATGCTCAATTTAGAAATTTATTTTTAATGAAGAGAGAATTTTTACACCTGATAGAAACTACCATTGAGAGGAGTTGCTACAACATACAGGAATTAGAAGCGGAGTTGTTAAAAAGGGAACAGAAAAAAATGAAAAATGAAATTGACGAATCGATGGATGTACATCTCCCAACAGTGGAAGAAGCCAAGCAAATTAATTTTCAAATGACCAGTAATATACTAAACGTTTTGCTAGAAACCATTTTGGTAGATTATCGAGATAGTAATCCATACATAAAAGATGCTGAAGTGTTTTCTCTCCTCTCTACAGTTTTTAAAAAAATTGAAAATGTTACTTGTCCAATTTTACCCACGGTTTTAAACTACGTGTTATTACCAACCATTGACATGATAAAAAATGATTTCTCATCCTATCCAGAACATCGGGAAAAATTTTACCACTTTTTAGATGCCTGCGTCAGACATTGTTTTGATTATTTGTTTACCCTAGATTCGGAAATATTCAATACATTCATTCAGTCCCTTTTGTGGGCAATTAAGCATGAGCATCCCTCAGTTGCGGACCATGGGTTGAGGATAACGCACCAGTTTTTACATAACATTATTATAAAGAAAAAGGAATACTTGGAAGAATTTTGTAAAGCTTTTTACTATATAATTTTGAACGAAGTTTTTAAAACGTTAACTGATTCGTTTCACAAGTCAGGTTTCCATTACCAGACGATTATCCTTATGAACATGCTACGCCTTCTAGAGTTCGAGGTGGTGAACCTTCCGGATGCAGAGATTACCAAAGCACATATAGTGAAGCACGTGCAGGCGTTCCTGACACAGTCCTTTGAGAATTTGAACCAGAAGCAGATTGAGACATTTTCGGTGGACTTGTTTAATTTTTGCGTAGAGTCCCCCTCGGCGTTTAGGTCTTTCGTCAGGGATTTGCTGATTTCATTAAAGGTGGGCACCGCGTGGGTCGCTTTTGTGGATAATTTGCACCCTTTTTTATGTCCGGACACCGCTGTACAATTCACGCGCGTAAGAATGGCTTTACCACCAATAACATTTCTTCCCCCCTTTTCACCTTTTAGGAATTTTCGACCAACCAAGATGAGCTATACGAGGCCGACCGACAGGAAGCGCTGCAGAGAGCTAAGCTGGCAGAAGATAACAAACTTATAAAGGTAAATAGACATGAGCACTTTCCCAGTGTTTGGTTCAACGTGTGCATTTTCTGCTGGAGCATCATCGTTGCAATTTTAAATAAAAAAACGGTAAACACGTATTTGGTTTTTTTTTTATTATTTTATTTATTTTTTTTTTTCCTTTGCGTGTTTCCCAGTTGAGAGGATTAATGAAGGAAGACGTACCAAGCTTTTCAGCCATCGACGTGGATGACGAGTGTATAAATGTGGAATAGGGACAGTGGAGAAGACTCCGTATTTTGACGCCCAGTTTGGCATCGTATTATAGTGTAGGCCCCGTGTATAATTCTGTCTACCTTAGCACATCTCAGAATGTCGTATCATATTATATAGCACACCTTAGCAGGTCTCCCCCTCAAATATGCACCCCTTTTAATGACTGTTTTTATCACCCCTTTCTCTGCCTTTAATGCACACATTGTTTCCATTTTTTTGAATAAAATTTTCTTTTCTTTTTTTTTTTTAACAAAAACGCGTTTCCCCTTTTTCGGCGGCTCGCAATATTCACACGCACAAATACATCTCTGTGTATGTGTAGGCATATGTATATATACACGTGTACGTGTGCAAATGTGCACGCACGAGTGTACCAACGCGAACTCGGTGCTGTGTGCATAACAAATGATAAGTAACGACGAGCGTTTATCATTTTATGCCATTGCATTGTTGTGTACTGAACCCCTCCCTTCCCAGGCCAGGAAGTTGCCCATAGCTGTGCTCTATGAGTGCCTCACAGGGGGAGGGGGTTATCTATTATATATGAATATATGTGTGCATACCTATACATGCATCTTTACCCATATGCACGTACATATAGATGTGCATATATGTATATATTTATTCCTTTACACTTCCCCCACGAACGTGTAAGCTCTGTACCATATGACACATGTGCGCATGTGTTGTAGGATGTATCTTATGTGTATGTCCTAAGGAATGTGTGCACATCCATCTGTTTCACTTTCCTCCCCTTCTGTGCTGCATACACACATTATGCTCATTATTACACCTTTATTAATAATGATATGTATCATTTTAAAATTTAAAAAAATTCACCCGGACCAATACTTATAATTTGAATGGTCAATTGTTTTATACTTTTTAAATATGAACATATAACACAGTGCAACGCTTTTGTTGAAGGTTAATTTATTTTCGAACTTTTTAAGTGGCTGTCCAATTGGGGTTCCCAGCGGAGACACTTTTTGGCGTGTTGTGCGGGATGCCAAGATGGTCATATATGTAGAACCTTATGGAGGGTATAAATTAGGGTGTGATGAAATTGTCTCGCCCCTTGCGCAGTGTACACATATTTGTGACGAAATGGCAAACGAGGGGGTCACCCACACATACAGAACGCAGTTGTATTAATTTATGTTAATATGTACATTATCGTACGCAGTGTGGCATGCGGTAAAAAAATATAGGACCGCGTCGAAACGGGGTGAAGTTTTAAATATAAAAGGGCTTCCCGTTAAACGCTTTCAGTTTGTGCATGCGTCAATCCTTTTTTTGTGTTGCTACTCGGGGATGAACTTTTCCCCTTTCATGGAAAATACAGCTTAGAGGAGGAGTGGTGTTAAGCGGGCGTTTAAATTATTCGCGCGGTTCAGTGTATACAGAAATAATCCATACATAACCGTAATACGTTAAGGGAACAGGCGTTTATGCACATGCCATTTTCTGCTTTCTACTAGCGTTCCATTCATTGGCATCCTCTGTGATGAAAAAATTCCCGTCTCCAGTTTTCCCACGGGAGAAGGAATTTGTGGCTTTGTTCCATGCATTCCGCGGTTCATCTTTTAAAATTTGTTCAGCTTTTCTTTTTTTACTCGCACTTACCATTTTTAATGGCGGCTCCGTTAAGCTATGCGTTGTACATATATATGGTGACGTTTTTCTTTTTTATTGTTTTTAATTCGATTTATGTATTTTTGTTTGCCGTTGTTTTATTTTTTTCCCACTTTTTTCCCATTTTTGGCCACTCGGTGAATGTTCATTTTGGCCGTTGGACTTTCTCCCCCTGTCGCGTTACGTCATCTTTCCTTCACAGCGCCGCACAAATTGTACGTGCCTGCACGCGCATACGCGTGTACCCATATACATTCTTATGCGTATTTGTACGTACATATTTATATGTATTTAAAAACATTTTATGCGTATTTATACATATTTACATACCAATGGCCTGGGGTAGGCGTACCCGCGCACCAAGAATAGTATGTTCGCTTTTCCGCAAATGCTCACGCTTGAACTATAATACGGATGAACAACATTTAAGCCATCGCCGCGCGCATAATTGTACGGCCCTTTCGAGTTAGGACATGAACAACCCAGTTGACGATAATGTTAAATTATTAGGCTGCAAATACAAGCAGGGGTCGGCATCTCAAGTGCGTGGATAGTAGTCCTTCGCATTTGTACATATGTTTATACTTACCCTAGGTAATAAGTTTTTCTTGAAAGGATTTAATGCCCTTGAAATTCTTTTCCAGTAGGGAATAAAACGGTCAGTACGCTGTTTTCACGAAAGGGGCGAATAAAAAAAAAAAAAAAAAAAAAAGTATTCCTTCAATTTAAGCGCCGTAAGGATGTGTATTATTCGTCAATAAGGCGCGAATATGGAGTTCGAAATGTGTAGAGGGCGAGGAAGCACGGCGCAAGTATATATGCATATGTGTAGTACCATACCGCAGTGCCCCTCCTTAGTGCATTTGTTGCGCCAAAGAGAGCAGTATTGACGGGGTTACAATATAAAAATTTATACGTAGGGTTAAGGAGAATGTTTCATTTACACCGTTATGTGCCCTTTTAACATAACTTCCTTCCCCGTGCTATACAAAAAGGTGTGTGTATAGAGACCCTTCAGTTGGAATTATTGTCACATATACGTATGCTACATTGGTGTTTTCAGCCATGTACCTATTAGAAAGGCATGGCTGCAGAGAAAACTCCTTACGACCCCTCGAATTCTCAATTAATTCAAATTGAATGTACACGAAAGGGGGTGAACAAAAATAGCAAAGTTACTCGCGCGAACATACATACCATTCCCCCACGTGGAAAATAGTCAAGGGGATATACAAAGGGCATCCTAACAGGAGTCGTGTCCTTGGAGCTTTTACAAAATAGCAGAGTTTGTAGGGACAACAGCTGGGTGGAAATTGACGCCGGAATAAATGAGTCGTTGAAAATTTAGGTTAGAACAGTAGGGACAAAAACACACCGGGGTAGGTGTTTATATGTGGACATATTTTGTACACACATATATCTGCTCGAGTGAATGCGCGAAACCGTTTTAAGTAGTCTATCTTTAAAGAAGCACAAAGGAGAAAAGCCTCTTTAGGGTCGGCTTGTTCACACGGCATCTTTACCATAGAATAAGAAAAGTGGAACATTTGCCAACCCAGTGAGGTTCACAAATGACCACATCAAGCGTAGCTACAGGATAGTATAAATCGGTATACACGCAAAAGTGTATTTATGCAAAAGTTTGTGTGTGCACCCCTTGCGTGTCGGTCGTTCTTAACTGGAAAGTTGCTACAACCAGCATGAACAACCACCAAGCTGTGAAGCAACAAATGAACCCTATGGGTTCGAATGAACAAAACAGAATGGTGACTCCAAACAGCAACATGCCGGGGGGTATTCGAGATTTAGCTTATCAAAGAAACAATGGACACAACGACATAGGAAAAATGAACATGAACAACAATGCACAACAACATAACCCACCAAATAGCAATACGCACAACAATTCAAATAGCATAAATAATAACAACTATTCTTTAGGTTTATACATTGACAACCCACAAAATGCATTCGTATTTGACGAAAACGATTTGAGAACGTTATTTGCTCATTACAATGGAGCACAAAATATAAGAATACTAAATGATAAAGCAGCTGCGCAAATTACTTTTAATGACAAAAATATGATTCAGCAAGTGAGAAAAGACATAAACGGTCTTACCATTACAGACATTGGCACGATTAGGTGTATTATACTGAATGAGGGAAAAACTGTGGAACAATTTCTTCCCTTTTCGGCCAACGACCCTGCATCGGTGCAGCAGAAACCAGGTTCCAATGAGGATGGCGACAACACAGTCAACATGCTGAAGAAGCTGGCGAACTTGCTGCAGCCGGAGGGCACCGTGGGTAATACCACGGCACCCAACTTGAGCGACGACGCAGGATTAAGTGCGACTGCGAATGTAAATATGGGTGCAAATGTGACAACAAATGTGAACATGGGTGGACATATGATTACAAATGAGAACGTGAATTCAAACCCCATGCCAGGGAAAAACCAAGTGAAGAATAAAATGAATAACCACCCCACTTACAACAACGGTGGTAGCCAGTTCAACCAAGTTCACATGAACAAAGGGGAGCACGGCGATAACAACCCCTATGCTGCGAAGCGGTTAAGTCGAATTGAACTAATTGACATATTTGGTTTCCCCGCAGAATTTGATGTAATGAAAAAAATTTTAGGAAAAAATAACTCCAACATATCTTACATAAATGAACAAACTAATAACTCTGTATCCATTGAGATAAAGGGGAAGCCATTTAATGAAGCTCCGATTGTGGAGCGCATGCATGTGTCTGTTTCATCAGACGATCCAATAGGCTATAAAAAAGCTACGGAGTTGATTGTAGAATTATTGAATTCTATTTTTGAAGAATTTTACGATTTCTGTTATGAGAACAATTACCCAGTTCCGGAAAATTTGTCCTTTAAGAGACATGAATATATGTATAACCCTGATGGGAGTACCAAGTATGTAGGATTCAAAGACAAGTGGCAGGTCATGAAGGACAACTATAGGAATGATTACTCCTTTAGGAAAAACAAAGGCTTGCAAAAGAACGACAAGGACAAGAGGATGCACGCTGGCGCCTTTGGCGTGCATCCCAACTTGAGCATCGGCTACGCCAACCAGAATGCTCCCCAGGGGGACTTCAAAGACATGTAGGACACAGAGCGGCAAAAACATTTGTGGCACAAAATTGGGAATAATATATATATATATAAAGGCAAAATGGACATCTCAAACGATGCGAATGTGAAAAAAAAAATAATAATATCCCACTCCTTGCACATTGACCATATTTCACTTGCACTCTTTCCCTTTATCCTCTCTTCAGGAATTACAAAGAATCCAACCAGGGAAATTTTCGTAATATGAAGTTAAACCGGGCGCGGGATCAGCACATGTGATTGCATTTGTGAAACCCATTTATACCACGGAGTATAAAACCAATGCGGGTGTGCCAAAAACAGTTTGCGTGTAAAACATAATAAGTTTTATCCCCTTGTTAATGTAATTCGTCACGCGAAGAGGCATATTTGTCTACAGATATGTGTCTATAATCTATACAGAAGTTTTATTACAGCTAAGAGGAAAAAAAAAAAAAAAGTTTGTTTTTGTTTTTTGTTTTTCCCGTTTCTTGTGCCCACCCCGTTAACATTTTACCCTTTATTTATACTCCAGACATTTTTAAGTTAAAATGTGTACAGTATTATGTGTGTACATGTACATGTTTATTTTATTTTTTTTTTTGAGTACAATAATTCACTCTCCCCTTTTTGAATTCAACCTTTGTTTAAACATATATTACTTTCGCTAGGGAATAGCGTTTAAAAATATGTTCATTTTGTTAGTAGTGATGAGAAAAGATGTTTGCGAAAAAAATTCCAGACGTTCTTTATGGTATTAAAAATGTTTGCCTTGTTCAAATTTTTGGTAAAGTTGGACGATGCACACTTGTAGACATGGCAAAGGTGTGAAGTGGAGAGCTTATCATTTTTCGTTTTTTTTTTTTTACGGTGTCCGATTAAGAAAGCGCCTTTACCATCCGTGGGGACGTATCCTCCGCAATGTGATAGCAAAGCTGCAATTTTCATGCAACGTATGTACGTGAGTTCACACACACGCACAGTAACATTTTGTTTAAATGGAGAAGTACCGTGTTGGTAAGCCCCTAGGGGGATTTGTAGACGATCCTTTTATCTTGTGTGTTCTTATGTGCATGGTGAATGGTGACACATGGCTATGCCCTCCCACACTTTATAACTTTCCTTTTGTGTCCCATAAATGGAGCTGGTGAAAAAGGAAGGAAAATATTATAGCGGGTTGTAAGGGTGTCATATTTCTCAAAACACCACTAAGTGCGTTTAAATTAATCCATTTATTCCTTGTAACAGTGAAATGATGAATTCTTTAGCATAAAGAACAAATGGGATCGTTTAACACATTTTCGACAATGGCCCATTAGGGTTAAGCGAACTGTTTGGTGAGACCATCGTGGGGTGTTAATTTGGATGAAGGAGTGGAGAAAATTACACAAGGATAATAGCACCACATGCAACATTTCACACGTTATGTGTTAATGGCTTATTATTTTTAGGCCGAAAGCTACTGCGTGTTACTTTGCTTTCTTACCGAGGCTAAAGGGAACAAATGGTTCAGCCTAAACATTAACTAACGCAGACGAAAATTTAAAGCACTCATCAATTGCGGGGGTAAAACGACGCCATAAAATGCGTTGCCAAAAGTGATATATATAATATGTATGCATGTTTTTTCTTTTTTCACGGCGCGCTTAAATGACCCGGTTGCACAACGGTTATTAATTTATTTTGCGAGATTTGAGGTGACCCTGTTTCGTTCGTTCACATTTTTACCATTGCTCCATTTATTGGGAAGCCTTAATAGCATCTCCTTCCGATTTTGTTGAAAACCCTTTTTTCGATCTTCACGTGTTCGTTAAATTTCCCCTAAGGTTAATTTCTCTTTTGTGATATTCTAAGTTTAATCACAAAAGGGAGAGCAAACTTAATAGGAATGAACAACACTTGCACAAAATAAAGCAATTTAGCAAAAGTTTTACTTTTGCGTTGTCCCCATTGTTTTAGTTGCTCTCCGCAGATGTACTCTGAAGGACAAAATGAAAGATCCTCTGGAGTATATCAACAAAATAAACTTCAACACAAACCGGTTTCCGCAGTATACCCATGTAAGTATGCCCTTAGATGGGCGTGTAGCGATCTTTTAGCGAATGCTTGTCAGAGCGGTGTGTTGTATATCCAAAATTGTTAATACTGTACCGCTGTTCTTTTCTGCGCATTCGCCATTTCGCATCTTAACTGGTCTTCCCCCTCCCCTTTGTGTGTTATAAAATCCAGTTGATAGAAAGTTGCCCCTCGGAACATGAAAAGGAAAAGGTTATCCGGATATGCCGTTGTTGGCAGTCAGCGAAGTTTCCCTACTGTGACGACACGCACAAGGTTAGGATGGAAGTCTCGAATGTGTGTCATATTACCCCGTGCAGTATTGTGCAAGTGCAGTTGCGCGTGGGTGAGAAGATGCATGTCTTTGAAAAGAACTTTTGAGTGGAGTCTTTTTCAGAGCAATGAGTGCTTGTGTAATAATTCGCAGTTGCAAAGCCGCAATTGGGAGTGCCAAATTTCATATACACCTGTTTTTTTTTTTTTTTTTTTTTTCCCTTCTCCCTCTCTGTGATTAGATCCTGATGGAAAACGGAGATGACGTTGGGCCTTTTGTAGCCAAACTGTCCAGCTACAAATTATCAGACGAAGACAAATTGAAGCAGCAAAAATATAATGAGAAATATATAAAAATAAACAAAAAATTGTCATCTGATAATTCTTCTATGTCCATTTTTAAATTTAATTATAAGCCATATGTGAACAACAAATTTAAGAAATCGATCATGCTATCTGCTGTTGTTTTGACTTCAGCCTTATTGTATGATAAGCGGGAGAAGCTGCGGTTGGCCTTTACTCGGGGCAGCGGAGGGAAGGAGTCCAATTTTTTAAAGTATAATTCCTTGGAACGTTAAAAAAAAAGAAACGCAGACAATGTTATTATTTTATTTACCCCCCGTTGTAACGATAAATCGATATTTTTACATATCCCTCATGAGTATTTGTGTCTTAAGGGTTATCAAATTTCCTTGGGACTTCTTCAAATGTTCATGTGTTTTATTTTGTACATGTTTATATATGTTTGTCTCCTGTTTTTTTTGTTGAGTTATGCCAACTGCGGCGGAACAGCATCCATCCCCTCGCAAAATCTGCGAATGTGCCTTTGGGCTCCCATTTGGAACAAGTAACTCCGCCCGCAATTTCCTTTTAAACTGTGTCACCGATCATATTAAATTAATACCATTTTCTAAATGAAGAGCCACAAAGTGGTAGTTGCAGTTGCGCACACAAGTTCTGAAGCGTGCGTCGACTGTACGTAAGAAAAAGTTACCACATTACAGTTAGGCCAGAAAGGTTAAAAGCGAATACGCAATTACTCTTTTGTTTTTTTGATGTGTGCATGGGGAAAAGGAACAACAAAACAAAGTTGCACAAAAGGAAACAAAAAAAAAACAACAAAAGCAAATGAGGAACAACTGTGGAATGACTTCTACACTTGAGTAAAAACAAATGGTATACTCATGCGCAGGACATTTTTAATTAAACATATCATGCAAATAAGGTGTGCATTATTTTGGACAGCTTTTCTTTTCGAAAAACAATTTTAATGGGCCCTTATTCCAACACGTGATATCCATGTGTAGGAAAAAAGGCGAGGGGAAAAAAAAAAACAGAAAAATGAGTCACGTGTAACATGTCAAATTCAAACGTGTGTTTACGAATTATGGATCAACCGTGGGTTTTCACGTCTTACAAAGGGATGATAAGGAAACAAACGCAAATAAGGGGAATACGTGAAGTGATATTAGGGGGAAATGGGATGATATGCTGTGGGTTCACGCTTTAATGTGCCATAAATGTGAGACACGCATGTACGAATTGCACAATGCAAAACGAAATCATATGCTGCCTTGGCACGGGGACAAGTGGGGGGTATATGTCCCCCCTTCTTGCACCTTAACCCCGGGGTTGCTAAAACTCGCTCATCTTTTTGGAGTATTCGCTGTTTTTGTTTTCCTTCAGTTTGGTCCGTAAACCATGCTCAATGATTTTTCCGTCTTTCAAAACATAAATGTAATCGCATCGATCAATTGTCGTAATTTTATGGGAGAGATTTATGATGGTAGAGTTGGGCACGTAACTTTTTATACCTGAGAAAATTTTCAACTCATTTGCAGAATCGAGGGCGCTAAATGCTTCGTCTAAAATTAGTATTTTGGGTTTTTTTATGATAGCCCTAGCTAGGGAAATTTTTTGCTTTTGTCCACCTGACAATGTTTTCTCATTAATGTTGTGAAAAAATTTGTCCTTATAGGAACTGATCAAATCGTCTATGCAGACAATTTTGGAAACTTTAATAATTTCTTTATATAACCTCTTTACGAAGTGTACTTTATATTTATTGTAACTTTTTTTTTTTTTTTTTGCTCATCGATCTGTTTCATATTTATGTCATTCCCGCACATCAGGCATTTTTTAAATTGGGGGGACAGATAATTCGCTTGTGTCGTTTCGGCGTCCACAGGCGAAGGGTCTCCTTCACTGGAGGAATTTGTTCCTTTCATCTTATTCTCAAGCCTTTCGTCATTCACCCCTACAAGGTCACCATCTGAAGGGAACAAATGAACACAGCTGTTTATGCTGTTTTTATTCAACCCGAAAGTGTAATTGAAGTAGGACAAGTATTTATTCGCTGTCGTGCTGCAATTGTAGGAGTACAGTATGTTGTAGATTATGCTATCGCTGAACAGGTAGGTGTCTTCCTCCACTAGGGAAATTTTCCTTGTCAGTATGTACTTTGAGATATTTTCTATATTTTCATTGTCTAAGAGAATGCTCCCATACGTTTTGGTATACAACCGTGTGCACAACTTGGACAGATCATCCTTCCCCGAGTCGTTATAACAGAGAATTCCGTAGGTATATTTATTGGTGAAATTTAAATTAATATTTGACAAAATTTTGTTTTTTGGAAATTGTGCATAGTAGAAATCTACATTTTCAAAAATTAAGCTACTCCCATTTTTGTCGTCTTTGACATTGTCTAGGATTAAGTTTTCGTTTATGTGTTTGTAATTTTCATCGATGAATTTTAAAATTTCTAGTTCCTTTATGGCGTTCTGTACAATGTATGGCAATATGTTATGGAGATTCTTTTTTTTTTTTTTTTTCAGTTTTTTATTTATTAAAAGTTCATCATCATTGGTGTCGCTACCTCCCGCTGCGTGCATGTTGGAAGCTGTGTCTCCATTATCGTCAATTTCGGTGGAGGTATTCAGTTCGCTATGTTTGAGCGAGTCGTCCAAGTTTTCTTTGTCACCTGAGTTGGTCACTGTATTGTTCTCATCTATGGGCATGTCTTCATTGTTACCTCCGTTTTGTGCGTTATCATGTTGCATCTCCGTAATGGTGGTGTCGCTCAGCACATCATTCATGTTGATGCCATCTACCGTTACGTGGTCCACATCATTTGCACAGTCACTGCCGAGCGTTTTGCTCAAGGTTGAGGTGGCTAAGCCCATTTTCGTCTTCTTCTCTAGCAGATTGACAGGAGTCCTTTTCTTCCTCTTGTAGTAAAACTTGGAGTAGTTGTAAAAGAGGAAAGTGAGTAATATGACGTAAAGTGTGTTGTTCGTTATATTGCTCATTTTTAAAATGCTTTTTTTATCCTGCACGGATAACCTTTTGAATGAGCTGATGTTGTCAAGCATGAAAAGAAGTTCCTCCCTGACAGGTTGGTGTCGTTCTTCAAACAACTTTAGGATTAGGTATATAATATTTTTCTTATATTTCGTTTTCAAGAATTGTATAAATTTTTTGTCCAGCTTTTGCTTAATTATAAGTTCATGGTCGTTTTTTATGTAGCTATGTATTTCTTGTATGTTCATTTGGGGTTTATTCTTCTTTATTTTGGGCGCAGTTTTTTCACCCCTATTGAGGGTGTGATCCGTGGTGGTTAGCGGTGGTAGAGGAGGAGAAACTAACTGAAGCTGTCCCTTGGTCATTGTAATGGGTTCTTCCACCGTCTGCTTCACGTCAGACGCAACGTTTGGGGTTGTCAACTCTGGGACGGGATCACTTGGGTGGAATCCATTATATGTGGGGTTATTCGTCCTATTTTCGCCTACTTGGTGATTACTTTCTACATAGTCGGGAACACTTCCAAGAGTAGAACTTTCAATCGGTTTGTCTTCGAAACAGGGGAGCAGATCGCCGCATTTATCATGGGGTAATAACTTTCGCAGGTTGTTATAGTTTCTTTCGAAGAGTTTTAAATAATTTGGCCTAACAACAGTGGCAACGTATTCGGCGTCTTTTTGGATGGCTTGAAATTTCTTGATAAGGGAATATTTAAAGATAGTATTTTTTAAGTTCAAAAAGTTTAGCAAATTTAGGGGAGTATACTTGTGGGATGTAAACTTGCTAGGGTTACCACGGGACGAATCCTTTTCGATCATCTTGATAATGTCTTCAGCATTTCCTATAAGCTCCTGCACTCTGGAATATTGCTGTTCTATGGTGCATGACTGTGCGATTATGTTTTGCATGTACATAACCGATGAGATGGCAGTTCTTGAATCCACTTGAATGTTATTCTTTAAAGTCTTTTTACTTAATATCAATGTGACGACAAGTGTTATCATATCAATTAATCGGATTAGGAATTTTTCCATGATGTAGAGAAGACCTAATTTCATTCTGCTCGTATATATTGCATCCAAGGAGTGGTTAAACTTTGAAATCTCTTTACTGTGAGTGTGGAAACTATTTATGAGGGATAAGTTATCAATAGATTCTTCTACCACATTGTTTGAGTATGCCACAACGTTACTTTCTTCTTTTGCAAGTGTGCGATAAGTGCTAGAGAAAAATATTGATATGTTAGTAATGGTTAGGACAATGAAGAGGGACACCACAAAGAGGTACACATTAATTTTGTACAAAAAATAAAAAGACAACACTGTCTTTATTACATTACGTAAGAGAACAATCATGTTAGTTGTAAATATGTCAATCAATTCAGAGGAGTCGATGTTTAGTCTACTAATCAATTCTCCTTTCCCCCTTTTCTTAAAATAGCTAATGTGCTTATGTAGCAACACCCTAAATAAGTAATTTTGCAGTTTGTTAGTGCTTACGTAAGCGCATATGTTAAAGATATGCGACCGCATGCAAGAAAGAAATAAGCTCAACAGAGAAACAGATACATATGCGTAGAAGGGGTTGTTCAATTTTAATTGGGAAAGGAAAGAATTCACAATTGGTATGTGGTTCGTTTGGGTACCAATCGTACTGTTATTCATAACGTAGGTTATTGTTTTGGACAGAAATATCGGAATGTACAAATCGACTACTGAAGAAATTATTGTTAATACAAAGCCTACGAAAAATATGTGTTTACTCTCTCGTATTACCTTAAACAGTTTGCTTACATCATTTAATATGTTATTTCTATGCTTACTCTTTTCACGCATTTGGGAAAATAGGCTTGAAAAGATGCTTTTTTCTGTTTTATTTTCACTCTTCTGTTTGTCCCTTGGCAATACAAAATTATCTATTGTCTTGTTTGCGCTACTCACTTGTATGGGCCCCAAATGACTCCTTGTTCTTCCTCGTTTTGGCTCGAAGCGTGTTTTGGTAAGAGGCGCGCCATGGTTAAGAAGCCGTCCGTTGTGGACAAACGCTACTTGGTGGAGAAGCGCTCCGTTGTTTGACACTCTATTGCTAACCACTCTCCTGCTTGTCACACCAATTTTTTCATTTTTCCTTTCCCACTTTGAGACTCTTTTCCTGTCAGTAAAACTTTGCAGGATGTTCCCGAAGTGCCTCTTTTTATTTCTACACTGTCGGTAAAGCTTGGCGGGATGCGGGATCCGCACCCCGTTCTTCTGTCTCACGGTGTACTCCCTTTTGTGCTGCGCATTTTTGGATGAAATCCCGCAGGCTACAAGGTAAAGGAGTATCCAGTTCAGCACAAATTTCATGTTTCTTTTTTGTTCCCTTAATCAACTGCATGTTTACACGATTATCATGTCATGTGTGATGAGATGCTTAGGCAACAAAAAAGAAGGGGCAGATGTTTTTTTTTTTTTTTTTTTTGATTAACTTATTTCGTTCATTGGTGAAGATTTTGAGGGCGCTTTACTCGTTTTCCATGGGTTTTTTTATCATTCTTTTGTTTTTCATTTCACAGAGAGAGGCCTATTCTTACGAATGGCAGGATCTCTTTGCCTGCTCCAATTTGGCTCCTGGGTGTGTTCTTGCTTTAATGTTCTATGCTCGCAGCAATATAGCATGTGTGGAAAGGAGTCGCTTTTTACGAGCATCTTTTTATGATAACATGGGGACACTTCTGCGATAAATATGCGATGACTTAAGGATAACTCTGTGATAATTTTGTGAACCTTTTTGTGACATTTTTGCGGGTATTTAACAAAACGCAGTCGTTATTTTTGACTACAAGATTTAAGCACAAGTGGTAGCGTGCATGACTGCCTTTCAGTTAGCCATCTTGTGCTCATTTTTTAGCGGCCTTTTGAAGCACACCAGGAGGTGCGTCAGTTTGATTGTTGTGGTGACGTTTCGTGGGTACTACGTCAGTAATTCGCTCATAGTACAGGTGTAACATGTTACGCACTTGCACATGTGCGTGCATAGGAACGAGAGTGCAAACAACATGTACAGATTGTATGCATATACATATATTGGCTACTCTCGTGTGATGCTGTTCAGGTTGGTTTAGGAAAATTGAAGCAAAGCAGTGAATGTGCACCACGGTGAAATACTGCATGTAGAGAAAGTAACAGCCATTACGCTTTAAAAAAAAAAAAAAAAGTGTGCGGTGTTAAATATGCAACACTGCAAAAGTCACATGCTACACCTTCAACACTTAGACGTACAAAAACATAATCACCAAATTTACGAACGCGAGAATCGTAGCATCTATCATATGAGAACCAACCTAATTGTACATCGAAATTTCGTAGCTGCTGGATGTTTTATCCAAGTTGGTCATAAAGCTAATCTCATCATTTGTGGAAAACAAAAGAAATAAATCACTGAGAATGGTACACATGAAAGGTGGAGTAACATAGTGTTATGGCAGATGTGTACGAGTTGGCCTTTGGATCGACTATTTCTATATTCATTAATGCTCTTTATGATTTGCTCCATGTGTTTATCATTATATTTGCTCGACAGGTGTCTTTCAAATTCGTCGTCCTCATTGTGAAATATTGCATTTATTTGCATGAGGCATTCTTTTAAATCTTGTATTTTTTTATGCGAAATGATTGGGCTTAACGTAAGTGTTATTATTCTTAGCGCACGTGTGATTATGCTTTTTGTTCTTTTTTTTTTTTTTTTCATAATGGTGTGATGCACACTTGCACATTTTGACCACATTAAAAAATGTGTATTTAATCCGCTTTCGACAAACACACAAAACAGTATTTTTCATATTACCTAATTTTTATCGTTTTAAATTCAGTTTTCAAATTTTTTAGAACAAAAAAAAAAAAAAAAAAAAATGAGCACATACATGTGTAAAATATGTGCATATGCACGTACAATTCGTATGTGCATTTTTGCATCCAGTTGTAGATGCAAAACAGGGGAGCATTGAACTAACTTAATTCTATGATTCACACTTTTGAAGGGAAATAAAACAGTACACATGGAAAATACAATAAACGAAACTAACGCACATATATCTACAGTGGGGAAAAAAAAACATTTTATAATCTCAAAATGCGTGAGAATATTCCTTCGAAATTTCTCTTTTTTTTTTTTTTTTTTTTTTTTTTTTTTCAACTATCTAGCGATTTAAGAAAATATTTTTTTTTTTTTTTTTTTTTTTTTTTTTTCATACGGTTTGCAATAGGGATGTGGACGTGAGGGTTTACGTTCTCATCAAGGGTATACACGCACGCGTCGTGTATAACCTCTGTAACGCATACATATGTGAACATGTTGCATGTTCATATAAACATATATTGGAGACATATTAACGTTATCACTACTAATTTGTGGTGCTTCAGTTTTCACAGTTGCCGTTTTTATTGAAAACAGGAGCTACACTTATTGGGGCACATATTCATTTTTTTTATATTTATTTGGGCGAATTTGATGGGGAAAAATTATGTACATAAAAATGCGGTTGTTACATATGCGTGGGCTAGATGCTGTTCCGTGGACTCCATATGCCGATTGTCACTGTTTCACGTCAGGTCGCTAGGCACCGGGGTGTGGGTGGGAAAGGTGCTTGAAATCGTTGAACATTTAGGATGTTATAACGTCTAGCGGGGTTGCTACGAGTTTTCTTAAACGTGTCCCTAAAACGGACACGAGTCTGAGCACTGGGACTTATCACTTGGCAAACAGGTAACATGAGGAGTACACCTAGGAAGGGTGCGTATCTACCAGGGGATAAACACGTTTATTTACAAAAGGGCATAAAACCGCTTGGATGTTCATGGGGTGATACGAAAATCTTGGGAAAAAATAATAAGGGGAGGAATGCGCAACTGTAGTTATTTATGGTGCTTAGTAGAGAGGCATCCATAGTTTGCTCGAGCGTTTGCCACAATAATAAGTAAAGAACAATTATCACGTTTGTGAAAAATACACTTTAAACAAATTGTACAATGCACATATTATACATTGTAGTTTGTCCCTCTGCCTGGCTATTCCGCTCTTTAGGAAAAGGCACAAAACGGCTTCTTGTTGATGACTTTGCAATTCATTTTATTGGCCTTGTCATCATCCTGGTTATCCTTAGGCATTTTACCTTCATTATCTCGCTTTGTTCCCGGTGCTTTCCTTTCCAATAGCTGTTTTTCCTTTTGGTCGGTCTTGCCAAGCTTGTCCACATTTTTGCCCGTGCTACTACCACTCATCACGACGTTGCTGAAAATTTTGGACGAAGTGCTCTTCTCCTCTACTTCGGTTGATTCCTTTTTTGCATTTTCATTAAAATTGGGGCTATTTGATGTCGCTAGTTGGTCTTTTAATTTTGCCTTTTCATGAGGGATAGCAACTTTTATGATGTCCTTTGGTTTTACGGGGATTAATATGTCTGCTCGTCCTGCATGCTCTTCAATTCCTTTTTTCTTTGATTGTCCTTTTCCAGTCAGGAGCGCGGAGGAGCCCTCTCCCCCTTTAGAATATACTTGGCTTTCTTCATCGCAAAAATTATTTTCATCATTGTCGTTTTGGTAGTTACTATGTTCAACCCTTTTGTGATGATTACTGTGCGTTTTTGTTGTCTTATCATTCTGGAGGGGATATTTGTGTCCATGGTGTTTTTCTGTCTCCTTGTATTTTTCCTCATCCGTTATGTCATCCTCCTCTTCGGGAAGACCGACTTCGTTGTCCTCCGTTTCTTCGTCCTCATCGTACTTGTACTTCCCTGGGTGCTCATAGTAGTGATGATAATCTCTATCCTCCTCTGAATTCACAACTTCGTCGTTGAATACATGACCACTCATTTTGTCATAATTCCTCATTTTGCGGCCTTGGTACTGTGGCGGCTTTTTCATGGAGTTTTTATTATTTGCATTATTATATGTAATGTGGGGCATGTTTTCATTGTGCAACACATAATCCTCCGTGTTGATGGACGAATCCGGGATGTGCCCTTCGTTTATGTTTTTATATTTCGATTTTTCTTGTAAGTTATTTTTCTTTTGATACAGATTGTCATATTTGAGTGTGGTTGCCTTGCTCTCCATTCCGTTACGGGTGTGATCATTTTTGTAGGCAAAACCATACTCAGCTTCAATATTGTAGTTTTCTTCTTCGTCGTCGTCATCATCATCTTCCTCTTCCTCTTCTTCCTCTTCCTCTTCCTCATCGTCCTCCCCTTCTTCGTCCTCTTCATTGTATTCGTCTTCCTCCTCTTCGTCTTCGTCCACCTCGCTTTTGGATAACTCTTCGTCGAATTGCCCCATTAGCGCATCGTTCTGTTGGGCCTTCAAATTGGCCTGCACGTTGTTGTGCTTGTTGGAAGAATTCATGCTTCTGTCCGTGTGCTCATTCGCGCCGTTATAATTATCGTTGTGATAATTCTCCTTACTATATTCGTGACCTTCATAATTGCCATTGTTTTTAACACTCATGCTGTTGAAGGAGTAGGATATATCCTTCATGTGCATTTCTTCCTCTTCCAGTCCTACCATATTGAGCCAGGGATGCTGGAGCATAGTGTAAGCCGAGGGTCTCTTCTGAGGGTCCAGGGCAAGCATAGGCAGTAAAAAGCTACACAGGGGATTAATTTCTTTTTCTGGTATGTTATACTTATACTTCAATATTTTGTACAATCCGTACCTCTTAATATTTCTTATATGTTTCAGTTTATACGTTTTCTTATTAAAATATTTATAAGAATTGAACCCTGTGTCGATCATATATTTTGGTATATTCCCCAACACTTCCATCATAAAACTTAAGTGTTCTTCATTTTTATCATATCTATCTGATTTTTGCGGATTAAATAGAAAATCTCCAGTAACTAATTCGAATATCATACATGCAAAGGACCATATATCAGCAGTTTCGTTAAAACCGCATTTTAGGATTACCTCTGGGGACCTGTATTGCCTTGTTTGTATTTCTGCATACCTTGATTCATCAATCCACAGACTGTTTCCTAAATCACAGATTTTGTAACATGACTTTTCATGGTAATAAACAGTTGGATCGTAGGGTCTAATACGATAGTCTCCCGCCTCTGTTTTGATGTAAACAACTTTATGGCCTCTTTTGTTATTCTCCTGTGTGTCATCCTTACCCCCTTTTGCATGCTTTCCTTTTTTTTTCTCTTTATACTTGTCGTGTATTTTCATGGCTTCTGGATGCATCAAGTGATTGAACATGTCGCAGTAAATGGGGACTTTGTTAAAATCCTTGTCTAGGCCTTCTACGGATTTTTTGTCGTCACTCGTATCGCTTTTTTGCGTCTGCTCTTCGTTATGTTCTTCGACATGTTGATCATCTCGTTCTTCGTCGAGGTCCTTATCGTGGTCACTATCCTCCAACGTGTTCTTCTTCAAGTAGTCGCTGGGCAAACGATGCAAAAAAAGCGAACACCTGTCATCCCCGTATTTCTCCGGATTATACAAAAAATAATTGTTATAATGGTAGGGCTTCCTCATTATGGATTCCTGGAGGGCATGTATGTTGTTGTAACTAGTGAGAAGGGATGGATCCGAGTTGGATGGCCTAACTCTATGTTTAACATATGGAGGTACATTAGTCTTTTTTTTTTTTTTTAATTTTCGGTTCCCTCCATTGGGTGCATTTTTCTTTTGTTCGTCCTCTACGTGGGCTTTCGATGTGCACGCTGGTTCATTTGCATCTGACACCTGCGGATTCGAATTGCAACACTTCTTATTATTGTTACTGTTGTCTTTGTCAATGTCTAGTTCGTTCTTTACATTATTTTGTTGTCCATTTTTTTTATTATCTCCGGGTGCGTTGTTGCTATTACAGGTTAGTGCTTCCCCTGCGGCCGTAGTCTGGATTTTGCTACCGCTCTTCATGGCACCGAGGGAGCTGTTAGTGTTTACGAGAGTATGGCTATCCACATTGTTCAGCTTGCCGCTGTTCAAACCTTCACCTTTTAACACATGTTCCACATTCATCTGGATTGCACTGTTGGAATGTTCATTATCTTCCTTCTTCAAATGGCTGTTGTCGTTTAATGTCCCGCTGCCCATTGTTAATGTCGCAACTTGCTGTTCGGCGCCGCTCAGTTTGTCGTGATTTCCACCTTGGTGTGAATTTCCTACATTCACCTCATCATCGGTTTGCTTCTCCATCTTCTGCGCTTCCATTTTTAATCGTTCCTTTTTTAAGAATTTTTTTTTCTTTCTTTTTAATTTTTTCTTTTCCTCTTTGGTTAATTTGTTAAAGTCTACATTGTCCCATTCGTGTTTATCTTTTACCTCGCTCAGGCACGACGACTGGTCATCTTCCCCGGTTTCATCATTGTCGACATCGTCGGAATGGTGACCACTACCTTCCCCTACTGATTTCTTTTCTTCCTTTTTAACAAGGTCATTTTGCGCTTCATCATCTTTGCTATAGCCTCTTGGTCTAGGAATATTCATCAGGGGAGATACTAACACGTTTTCTGGCTTTATATCACTATGTATAATTTTACAAACATCGTGTAAATACTGTAGCCCTATTAGGACATGTGTGGCAATTTTTCGAACTAAGTTTAATGGGATCCCTTTATAATCATAGTGTTTAATGAGGGATAATAAATTTGGTCCCATAAATTCAAAAACCATACAGACGTGGGTACCATTTGGTCCTTTATGCTCAAAGCTATCAATAAAGGAAACAACTCCCTTTGTCATATTATAATGAAAGAGCCTTTCCCGTTGATGCTCTTTCAATTCTACCCAAGAAGAATCAAAGGAATTTGCCTTAACCGTTTTTAAATAATTGATTTCACATTTGGCTGACTCTCCAAATGATTCGGACCCTTTCTGAATTTTGATAGCAACAAATTTTAATGGTTTACTTTTTAAGTCTGTAGCAACCCAAACGGTTGAAAAATGCCCCCATCCTAATTTCCCTTCTATTCTATACCGGTCGTTATATATTTCATTAATCTTCACAGGGTGATATCCACCCTTGCAATATTCGTCACTTCCCTCATCGTCACTTTCTGTGTATTGTAATTTCCCGGACGTTGCATCTTGGCTACTGCTGTTATTTGATTGGGACCTTGAATCACTATAACTCATTGTTTCGCTGTTATCTGTATAACTATCTGTTGTTTGAATGTCCCTTTTGTTTCTCTCCGCCGGGTCCTTCGCCTGAACACATGCATACGTATACGCAATTATGCATGTGTATAATACGTATATAACACTGTGTACGCGTATTGTAAAAACAGGTTAATTGAAAGAAGGGGGGGAGGGGTTACAGTTTGCAGCGTTTTAATCCACCTTGAACTACAATTTAAAAAATTAAATGTAGAAGAGCCTTGAAGCTACTTTTTACAAAACGAATTGTTATTCGTTCGTAGGGCAGGTGGAAGCACGAAAAAAAGGAAGAAAAAAAATTATATATATAATTTTCTGCGTCTTTTCCTTAAATTTTCCTTTTAAATTTTATGCATATATTTAGCAGCATAAAATATAATTATTCCTACGCACACACATATGCGGTGAACGTATGCAATACATGAAGGAGGGTATTATCCCATGTATACACATTCTTACGCATATACTTTTGTCATATGCTATAAAGACACTTTGAACAGTACAAAAGAACGTCCAATATTCTGTTAACACAACGACTGTAACATGCTGATATTAACGAATGAATAAAAAAAAAAAAAAAAAAAAAAAAATGATATACAACTAGTGGCACTTAAATCATTTTGGCAGAATACTACAATAACTGAAAAGGACGTAACGAAATTGGATTTCCCATTCGGGGGGTATACATAAGAATATATGTACAAATATGTATGTACATGTTTATACGTACATATATACTTATGTAGTACACTTTTACACATGTATATATATACGTACGAACTTATTTATATGCATAATATACGCATATGCATATAGTCCATCACTAAAGTTTCAATGGAAACAAAGTATTACGCAGTCTCTTCATTATTCAGGCGTGCGAAGTAACGCATATGCACAGGGAACACTTGGCTAAGACCATATGGGAACGTGGTCATTCGACGATAATATAATACTTTAACAAATGTGAAAAAAGGGACTAATAAAAATTCATATGCAGTCTTAACGCAGTTATTCTTCATTCGTCGACAAGAAAATGTAAAATGACACGTTATTGTGGAGGGAAAAAATGGAGAACATGAAAAACTGTACGTAATGGGTTAGCGCATGGGAATTAAAGTGTTCTAATGACACTTCGTATAATGCATTAAACATATATAATGTATATATATACATATATACTTAAGTACAGTATATCTCTGGGATTGTACAAATAGATTTTTCATGAAAATGAAAAATTAAAGGATGAAATAAAGCAAGCAGACTCACGCAAATACAACTGGATACATTATAAACTGTTACGAAAAAAGAACCTTTTTTTTTTTTATTTGCTGAAAATGTGAATGGAAGATCACATGATTTTTGCATGGAGCTTGTACGCTCACTTTTTGTGTTCTGAATGTTAAACAATTAAATGAAGAAACCATTAATGGTTTGTCTTCTTAATTCCTATTGATCCATTAAAATGCAGAATGTAACGACATTTATTCATTATTTTTTTTAATTCGCAAATTTGACAAATAACATGAATTTTTTTTTTCGTAAAATCCATGGTAAGGATTTTATTATACTTTTATTTATTATTTTTATTCACGGAAATGATAATTGCCCTTTTTTTAAGCACATATGAGTAGAATATGTTATATATATATAATTACTATATTTTTATATATACTTCGGGGAATTGGCTTTATTATAATTTGGCATGGGTTGGCGTACTACTCCGTGAGAATTTGTTTTTGCGTTGATTTGCATTTGCGAAAAAAAATTAAAAAAGCATTTTTGTAAATTCCATATGCATTACGTTAACTATAATGTTACTGCGCTGGTAAAAACATGATTAAATGTATGTGCCTTATTAAAAGTTTTTCATTTTTGCCCAGTTCTATTTTCCTTATATTTTTGCCGAAATGAAGTAAAAAAAAAAAAATAAGGGCTCGTAAATCCCAGAGCATATATATATTGTACAAAAAGGGCGCAATTATATCTCAAATAAAGCCTTCACCTTTTCCAAAATTGCCAAAACATTTTAAAATAAGCTGTTAAATAGTTATATAAAACAAGCTGATAAGCTATTATCTTCTGTACCTGGCATGATAAATATAAATTATGTGTTTTGGCTTGGCAAATGGCATTCGCCATGTATGGAATAAAAAAGTAACGGGACAAAAAAAAACAAAATAAAAATGGTTTAAATGAAAATTGTGAATGCATGAAAAGGACGGAAAAATGGAAAGTAAATGATATATATTATATGTATATAAATTATATTATACGACTTATGTAAAAGAAGAGTGTACAATGCAGTAAATTCAAAATGATTTGTTTTAATTTTACAAAAAAAATTTCAACAGGGACAAAAAAGGTTTATACATTAACATACATGTATATATACATGTATATGTAGGGGCAAAAAATGCTCATCCATAATTGTTAGTTCGAGCAATAATTTCGTACATACAATTTTATGCTTCCCACGCAAGTACGTATATTTCTCAAATGTTCCACACCTGTTCATTTAAGCTCTGTGTTCCTTTGTGTTTTTAATTACCAACCGCAGGGCGTGTGTTGCGTGGCGCATAGGTAGAATTGTATTTTTCGCGGAACTGAAAACATTTGCCCCCTTTTACTGTTCATGAGTAAGCGTCAGCACTTGTATGTGTACGTATGCCGTCTGTCCATATGCATAAATTTTCCTGTTAAAACTATTTTTAAAAAAATGTGACATATGGATGCTCATATTGTAACAGTTAGCTCATATGTTTTTACTTACTGGCGAAGGAATGGGTCTTAAAAAATATAAAGAGATGTTGGCTTACGAACAAACAGCAGTAAAAAACTGCGGGTATTTAATTCACAAAGTGGTCGAATGCAGTTTTAACGTCCTAAGTGTGTATCTCGATCGATTTTCGCAGCAGCGTGTACGTGCATGCAACCCCCTGCCGCGGAAGTGGTTGTGAAAGAATTGTAAAGTTACATTTATGGGTAAGATAAGCACAAAAGGACGTGTGCGCGTGTATGCATATAAATAAAAATGAAAATGTACATTCAATTAGGAATGTGTGTATATAAACATGAATTGATAAACGCAGGTGTACCTGCTTTGTGCCATCTTTCGGCGCACCTAACGCAACTATATGAATGAGGTTTAGACGCTCTCCCGTGCTATCTAAATTATGCGCATCGAACGAAATTGCCCAAACCAGAACCCTAAAGAGTTATTTGGCCAAGGTACGACACAGGAAATAGATAAAATTGTATGAAATCTTATGTATTCATTCTAAGGTGTTTTGTAGATCCTTACAAACATACACAAATGTTTACTTATGTATATATATATATGACGTAAGCAAAGTGCACGTTTCATACAAGTGTGTGCTGAATTGTGACTAACGAACTGTTGGAGACTTAGTTGTGAATTTCTACAGTTGCGCTTGCCTCTACAGTTTTTAGAAGGCTACCTACGCGTGTCCCATTTTATTGTGAAACACAGATTAAACATTTCCAACGTTGCCTTTCTTTTTTCGATTACCACGAAAAGTCATTTTCAGCTATTTAGAAAAATAGAACAAAATTTCCGATTTTAAATTACAATGTAACGTCTTTTCACGTGTTCGTTCTGCGCATCTAACTGTAGCACAAATGCTCCCTCGTTCATTTTATTTACTTAGAGGTAATTGTCCACAATTGTTGCAAATGTACACAAAGTGTGCGACTAGTTTTTTTTTTTATGTACTATATAAAAAAACAGTCATCTTTGGATCGGCTCTTTCCATTTGCTCCTTCAATAGAATAATTTTCAGAAGTTAAAAATTTTACTGTGTGAGTTTAGCAACATCTTCGCAAAAAAAGTAGTACATTTTTCCGTAGTTCATTTTTCAGTAAAAAATATCACACGCTGTTGGATTTGTATAATCACATATATTACAGAATCACGTAAATTTCGTGGGGACCCCCACTTTCAAGGCAACATAATTATGCTATTGTACCATAAGAGACGATTTTTTCCTTTCATATTTTTTGTATCACGCATTTTGCTCACCATCTTTGCAAATTTTTTACATTTTCTAAAATGTAATCACAGGTTCATTTCGAAAGATGCAAAAATATAATTGCATATTAATCTTAAAGGGTTTCCCTTTCTCGGAAAGGAAAAACCTTTTACTCCATATGAATTGAACGCATCTTTTTTATTTTTTACGTTTCACATTTGGCCTTTTTTTAAACTTTCACTTTTTTACATACACCGGTTCCCGTCAGGTTCTGCATTTTTCTGCATTTGTTGTTTCCACTGGAACTAGGAAAAGGCAGCATTGAGAGCAAAAAGGAAATATGCCGCACGTACGATATCAAGGTGCCCTTTTCTGTTATCATTTTATGTACTTTAAAATGCCACATATTTTGTAAAAAAAAAAAAAAAAAAAAAAATATAGGCGCTGTTTTTTTTTAACGTATATGATTGTTTTACATTTAGGTGGGTTTGCTTCATGATATGCCGTACCATGGTACATGAAGGTATTATCTGTTAAAACTGCATTTCGTGTTTGATATAGGCTCCACGCAGGCGACGGCATGCTGCATGTGACATTTTACGCTGGACATTACTTTCCCCATATTGTAATATTGAATGGTAGTGAGAAGTAAATCACTCGCTTCGTTTGTTTTCGATAGAAGAAGAAGCAGAGTACCAATTGATCTTATTACCATTTCGATTGATAAACAGCGTCATTAATTTGTGATGCAGTGGAACGAAGACGTCTTTTCACCATGAAAAATAATAAAATTTATTTTAAAGGGTAGAAATGAAAAATGCATCTCTAGACGCTGAACAGGGAACAGGTGACAATGGCAGTCGTAGTGACAACGAAATTGACAATGATAGCGAAAATGAAAAGGAAACAAACATCCTAAAAAAAAGCTTATGCTTGTCAAAGACTATGTTCGTGGGAAATGACATGCTAACCCCATTTAATTATAGCCTC